AAACTCAGGAGATCCCACGGAAGTCCAGCCAAAAATTCCCCGGCCAGTCCAAGGAGGTTCTTCGGCCATAGCCAGAAAGCGTCCAACGCACGCAGAAGTAGACCATGGCCGAAAGAAACTAGCTTGGGACAGATTTATCAAAAGAAAACAGCCGGCAATGGAGAGCAACGGGAACGGTCAGCTTCGGCAGAGGATCCGTGTGAGACATCTGAATCAAGTTCTATCGAGGGAAGACTTCGTCAAAAAGAGAATGACAGAGTACGCCAAATAAAAGATAAATCAAAATTGTTCTATTTAAATTTATTTTAAAATCTAGTACGAAATTCGTTGAAAATATTTATTTCAGTTTTGCCTCGGGAGGGGGACAATATTTGTTTAATTTAGCAAGAAGCTTGCAACTCTGTATTTAGTAAGAGTTTACAATTTCGTATTTAGCAAAAAGCTTAAAATTTTGTGTTTGGCAAAAACCTAAAAAGAGTTGTTTTTGCATTAATTTAAATTTTTGTATTAAGCATGTAGCTTTAAATGTTTATAAGAGAGTTTAGAAAATAATCTTCGACTTGTTAGAATGAAATGTTAACTTTGGTAGTAGAGACTGTGGTAGCAAAATGTTTGTATGGTATTAAGAAAACGAACTTCGTTACTCAAAGTGTTAGAAATTCGTGCATGTAATTAATCTATACTTATTTTTCAGAGGAGCAAAGTAAGAAATTAATTATTTAAAAATGTTTTAATTCTTAAATACTTAAAGTATTTTGTATACTTGAAATTGTGCTTCGAATGAAAGAGTAGTCTATGTTACTGGTGATAAATACTAAAATGAAGTTTTGATAAATTGAGAATGAAGGTAAAGTAAAATGTTAGGCTCTCCAGCCAACACTAAGTTAATTTTCACTAGCCTTAGCACCTCAGTCTGATATTTGATTCTAGGGTGTCTGTCTTGGTCTAGCTGGTTTAATTCTAATAAGTAAATGTGGAGTAGTCGGTACATGTTGTACTCGTTTTACATAAAGCACGCTTGCATTTTATGGTACACAATTCTGGAGAGTAAGGGGGAGTCTTAATGTGGATAGAAAGATTGAATTGAGTAAATGTAGGAAAGGTTAAACTGTTAAAAAAAACATATTGAAAGTCTGGCAAGTGTAAGATATGTGTAAGCACGTACTAAACGTTTTTCCTTCCAGGATACCTAAGAATTCCTAAAGGAAGATATTGTAATTATGTGCCACATTTGTCCATCTGTAAAACCTTAAATTTAGTTAAGATGTAGATTAAGATTGTAAAGGTGAACTCACATGTAGATTTAGAATTTAGCTATCTTATCCAGGCTTATGCGATAAGTTATGCGATAGTTAAATTCCGGCGAGGGAAATTGTAAGGATTTCCTTATTTTGCATAACAAATTTATTTTAAATTTGATTTCCTGTTCTAAACTTTTCAACTTCCTCTCACATTCTCTCGCCAGCATGTAAATTTAAAGTTAAATGAAGTTCTATTTAAACGTGTAAATATCTCAGTTTATTCAGAGCGTGTTTCGCTAGCCAAGCGCACGTCTCATTGTTATTTCGCAGTCACGCTAGTAAGCCTCTTGGCCTTATCAGATTAATATCACGCCGGTTATACTTCTGTGAGTCCACCTCTTAGGCATAAACTTTAGTTCGTTCTTGCACTATTTATTTCAGGTTTGACTTGTATTATATTCTACGTTTTAGTTCTTACCGCAAATGGACAGTGTTTTTGCAACGCACGAAGTCCGTGCCTTTCTGTTAAATTAGTTTGAATTAATAAAGGGTTATTTTTCACCCTTCTTCTGTACTGGTAATTTATTCACGCCTGTGCGAGAATTCGCCAGGTTCATTGTAGGATCTAATTTAGTTTCTATGGAATTATAGAGATTAGGTCTTACACTACAAATTAACTTAAGCATAAAAATTGGTCAACAACTCCCGTAAAGGTTAACTACAGAATTTTAATTAAAATGTTATCTTTATTCATTTTCTAATGAAATTGAATGAAATATAATTTCATCTTCATATTTTAATTGAATAAATTTATCAGTACTTACATTTCAAATTTACATTTCAACATCCTTATCAAATATCTGCAACTTTAAAAATTTATTTAATCGCGTCTACACTATTTACCCAAACGAATTTAGAAGGAAGAAATTCGCAAATTAAGGTATTGTTGGTAACATGGATAATTTGATAATTATAAATAAAATATGCATTTTCCTTAGTTTTCTTTCATTTGTTTCTTCTAACCTTACTATCTTGCTCATCATATATTCAATGTTTTCAATATTTATACTGCAAATAATATAATTCACTATTTAATTAAGTATTAGCTCAACACAATGAAATTTTTTTCTCGTGTGTTCTAGAATCATATTTAGAGAGCTTTAAGGAACTGATGTTGGCTCTTCTTTCAAAGAAGGAATTTGTCCTCAAAAATAAGACTATTCGTTGGTACTTAAAGTTTTTTTGTGGACTACCTGAAAAAATAACGAAATAAAAGTTAATTTGAATTTTCGTGTTTAAAACAAAGCGCAGTCTCTAAACTTCAGACTACAATGAACTCCTAGATTAATTTTAAAGTTTCAAAGCTTTTAAAATTAAAAGCATTAAAATCATTTGGTTTTAAAATTTTAGTTTAAAACCTTTAAATAGTTTTAAGCTAAATAGTTATGACAGGCTTACTATTTTAAGGACTAGTCCCTCATAAAGTTTTAAAATGTAAAACATGTCTTGAAAATGGGCTTTACAGAAAGGTAAAGCCAAATGGTAAATAAAATAAAAATTATGACATAATTTCAACAACACCACTCGGATTACACAGAACACTATTTATTAATACATTGGAAAGTGGGCACAACACCACTTATAATACCACTTGGAGATTCATACATTCTTTACTGATTTTTTATCAATGGTGAACTTGCACACAAGATTTGCAACCAATATTTCCCTCGACTGACTTATACTTTCTATGTTGGCAAGAACAATGTGCGAATTGAAAGCAATAAGTACTTCGATAAGGTTTCTTTCAAAATGTTAAAAAGGTGAACAAAGTTAATGAAAAATTGATATTTTATGTATTAAACTTGTTTTCCTAGTGCGTTAGTGCATAAGACATGAAAACGAGTAAAATAAAGGATGTCATTTTTCATGTAAACGGTTAATAAATAATACTCTCCCGTTAGATAAATAATAACTTTTTTTCCTAAATCTTCTGAAAAGAATTTCATGCTTTTGCAGTTCCATCCGTTTTTAATTTTTTTTGTCATTATTCATTTTCAAGTTGACTTTAATGTAACTGAAACGTTCCGTGCATTTTAATTTTGTTTAACGAATAACTTAAAGGGATTTTATATTGAATTCTCTCTAACCATTGTAATGCTATTTCCTTTTACTTCGCAATTTTTGTTATGTAATGTAAAATGCTGGACTTAAAGATAAGTGTTTTAGTCACGTAGAAGCTCTATATTGTTGCTACCTTGAAACATAATTTATTTTTTTATTACTCAGTAAAGGAAATTAATGTCATTTGTTATAAACTGGATAAAAATAATTTCAAGGATTTGCTGCAGTGCTGTTTTCAGTTTACTATGTTGTTATGGTATTGTTTTAGTTGGGAATCGTTTTAGAATCACCTTCACTTTCCTAAAAAGGAAATTAGTACTCTCTTGTTGCCATCAAAGTTTACAAAAATTATAGCAATACTACATTTAAAGGAGGTTCCTATATTTGGCTCCCTATGTCCTGCGTTTAAGCAAAAAGTATTTTATCTTCCCAAATAGCAATTCTTCTGTTTACACTTAAGTTGCTGATATCTTCAGAGTTATAAAGATTAAACACTTATCTAGGAATCATCTATAAACCCAATTTAGTTTCACTCTTAGGGCGAAGTAATGAAATGTTTGCTTCTTGAATGACGTTCAGCAACAGAAACCCATCGATGTTTTTAAGAGGAACTGGTTGGAGAGCTCTTGCTAATGCCAAAATGCAAAATGTGTTCTACTGTTTTAGAAATGAAGATCAGAACGTCAATTTAGATCAAGAAAAATCAAAACTGAAAACAGAACAAAACGGAGGCAAAGGGGAAAAAAATAACTAGTTGAATGTCTTGGTTCAAGATTCCTGTAATTAAGATACAATAACACGCCGAACAAATATTCATTTAGGAACAAATATTCATTAAATATTCATAAATTTTCACAGGACTCGTTATATTTTCAAAATATATTCAGCGTTATATTTGCGTTATATTATAATCAGCGTTATATTTGAAAATATAACGCTGATTTTTATTGTTTGACTTCTAAATCAAGATTCCTATGTTAAGTCTCATCGGAATTCCTCTATCTATTATGATCATCAGTTTTCTGTACTATGTGACACTTTAAGTTCAGTCATCTATCCTTGACCAACATGAAAATAAAATTTTGTCTCATATTTTATGACGCTTGCATAAATAATTATAATAATAGAATTACTATCTAAGGGCCAAAAGTGACTTCCGTAACAATATTTTTCATTTTTAGAATGCAATTTGGCTATAGAAAAACTTAATTCTCAAAAACAGAAAGTGGCTTTTAATCTGTTCTAAAATACACAGCTCTAAATTACGCAGAATATTCATCAGCTTCTTAGAAAGGATTTTGTTGTAGAACAGTGCTATAACCTATTATTTAGTAATCGCCAATTTATACATTAACCATATTAAATAAGTAATAACAGAAGATTATGCAGCCTATCAAGCTATAGTACATAATCTTTGATTCCACTTTCTTAGAAATCAATAAGACGTAGTTCATTAAATGTTCTAATGTGTTTATTATTTTTTGCTTTAATTATTTTACGATGGGCATAAAATATATAAAGAAAGTGTGATTTCTTCCATGCTTAGAGCTGTTTTTTTTTTTTTTTTTTTTTTTTTTTTTTTTTTTAATGTACACAACTTGATAGTTTCTATCCTTATGCTTTGGATGAGGTATTGTCACCGTATTAACCCTCTGCGTTCGGCGCCTTCTCACTACCTACAACAAGACATCACTTGTTTGCAAAAATTTAAACTATGAATATGAAATTGCATGATTTAAATTAGTAAAATTTATCAAAGGATGTAAACATTTAGTGCAGTTTTTGATCTTACGCTGTTCTTTACATACACAGGAATGACTTTCATTTTGAAGATCAGTTTCTAGGCTACAGTCTTCTTGCGAACTTATCTCACTTACGTTATAATAACATCAGAATAAGTTTATGACTTTTCTCGTGGTGAGGAGGGCAAAGTTGCGTTTGTCGTTTTCCTTGAGCGCATCATAGGTGAAAGCAGGATTCAAATCAGCTTCCATCCCACCTCTGAAAGAAAATTTAGCAAAGAACGCGTATAATTCAATAGGCCGTTCAAGGAAATCATGTGGTGTCCGCATAAGATTTTTAAATTATATTTTTCATTTAGGATGTTTTATTCCGAAAAGTATGTTAAAAGTTAAAATGATAAAATATTGCAAAAAATACAAAATTCATGTTTTAAGCAAAACTAGAAAATAAAATTACTTTTTACCTGCCGAAATACAGAACCCATTTCTATTCCAACTAAAATAAAACAATGAAATTAATTATGGTTTATATAGAGTAGTTAAAACTAAATAAAAGTAACATTTATCAATACCATATTTGCGAAGCGCTCATTTCAATTAATTTAATATCTCTTTAAAAGTATGCACTCTTTAGTACTTTTTCATGTTGTTTAAATCCAGAAAAAAAAAAATTAAAATCTTGTAAAAAATACATTAAATAAATTGATTCATTTCATTTGGCTTCTAAAGAACAATAAGTGATCTTTAATAATGTTTAGTATTTGAAGTAGTAATATTTACGCGTTGATATTTTTCTTCATTTAAATATGAACAAAATTTGAGCTGCAGCTACGCTTCTTGCTGATCAAGCGAGAATAAATGTACATGCGTTTTGTCTGGGATATCCTGTGGTAAAAAAGTTTCGTTCTGTCGCCCGTCTACAACCTTGAATTATCGTTTCCCTTTTAACCTTGATAATGAAACCTGCCCCACCCAAGTTAACTGTCATCAGACGATTTCATGCGAGCTACTTGATCCATCGTTAAAAAATTCTCTTTAATCCCAAACGGTTTACGCCTGCGAATTTCAATTATTTTTCTGATTCCATTATTAGAAAAGTATATAATTTGTCCACAAAATTCCTTATGTGTCCTTTATTTTCGCAACCGTTGTTCGCAGACATTTCTTCCAGTTACAAAAATACTTGAAATGAAGCAAATATTCGTGTTTCGAATTTTTATATTTAAAGAAATCAGTTTTGTAAACACTACGAAATCTAACTTTAAAAACGTTCCTGAGGTCCCTATATTTATATTTGGGAAAGTTTCGTATTCATTCTCAAACATGAAACTCAAAGTTTTGACTCCAATAAGATCATCATCGACATAGATCAGGACTTCTTAAACTTTTTTCAGTCGCGACCGTTTTTTATCACTGAGAGTTTTTTCGCGACCCCAGAACCCCAAAATATTTAGGAAAATTTTGTGTACCCCATAATCATTGCTCAAATCCAACACAGGTGTGAGTGAAACTTTCTATTTTTTACTCGTACTGTAATATACTATTGCAGTTTTAGATCATTAACTTTTAATTTCTAATTTTAAGATATAAAACAATGTGAAAATTTTAAATAAATAACAGACGAAATGATAGCGTAATGTGCCAATTAAGTAAAATGAACGTTTCTACTATAAAAAGAATACGTCGAAACGTTTTCGTTTTTCTATATATTGTCTTATCTTATTCTGTTTTCTGATACATTGTGTAAAAACATTTGGTAATTGTAAAATTATTATACAAGGTTAAAGAAATATAAAAATTGCTAAAATTTTTGGCGACCCTCTACTGCAGGTTCCGCGACCCCAGTTGGGATTGCGAACCACAGTTGGAATTGCGAACCACAGTTTAAGAAACTTTGACCTAGATCATCATTGACAAAGTTTCGAATTGAATAATTTGAAAATTTGCCAATTTCGACGTCATTTTCAAGTTGCATTGAGGGTTCGGTTAATAAATAAATTACAATAATTCGAATTTAATTCTTTTTTCTGTTTTAAATGCCATTCAATGATATTCTTTCATGATTTACTTGTCTCTTTTATTTATAATTCAGTTACATTTGGTATGCCGAAAATTTTTCATACAAGTAATTTGTGTTTGAAAGTTGGTAATATTCTCATAAAGTTTTACTCCTTTAGAATCATAATCTGGTAATTCTGTGGAGACATTAGGTATTATTTGAAAGCAGGAGAGACGAACAATGAGCAATACCCTCAACGGGACTCGAACCACGCACCTCTCGAATACGAGCCCTGCCTGCTGACCATCACACCACGAAGGAATGCTAAGAAGGCACTAGAAATATCTTATATACGACCCATTTAAAGAGCTACTGGGGATTAGGGGACCCAATCGCGAAATCCTAGTGATCCACCACCTTTTTAGTTCGGGCGTCACTGTAGCGACATTAGGTATTATTTGAAAACAGGAGAGATGAAAAATAAGCAGTGCCCTCGCCGGGACTCGAAACGCGGACCTTTCGAATACGCACCGAACGGGTTAACCATTACACCACGAAGGCGGCAGAAATACTTTATAATTGTACAGGTACAAGTGGACGGAGCAGCAGAATTTTACGCTTGGTTGTACAGGTATAGTACCGCCCGAATTTCGATGGAGCGCACCGTGTGGGACAGTGGTGCAGTGGCCGAAACCTGTACGCAAGCCCTGGGTTGTGACACCGGGTTGAAAGGAACTTCTAATTCAAGTTTTAACAATAAGATGAATTTTAATAAAATGGAAAAGTTAACAGTTTCATATCTTGACAGTATCGTATTTAAATATATTTAGGCCGCAAGTTCCTTTTCAGGTTTGCTATAATTTCGCTCAGCCTTAGAAAAGTTTTTCCTAAGATACAGTATAGTATTCCTAAGATCCCGATCCTTAATTTGAGACAACACAATACCTGTACCATATAAGCTGGCATCTGTCTGCACAATAAATTCCTTAGAATAATCTGACGCAAATAATACTGGACTTTACTTACTAGTTTGGCCTTAAGTTTGTTAAAAGCTTCGTCGCACTCTCTTGTCCAAATCACTTTTTTTTTGTTTTTGCCCTTCAAAGCGAGCCCACCAGCGGCCGAGCGGTAAAGAGGTGCATGGGTGTTTTCGTGGTTTTCCCCATGTGTAACGTGTATACGAGCCAATTTCCCTTAGAAAGTCCTCCACGAAGGCATCCCTTCCCTTACGCAGATTGCCCTCGTGTGCTTTGCCATTATTAAATACACCACCACCCTTCAAAGCGTCTGTCAGAGGTATCGCAATACGCACGTAGTCTTTTATGTACCTTGCGTAGTAGCCTACAGTACCAAGGTAGCTAAATCGACTAAGACTGCAGTGTCGTAAATATACTGTAGAACAAAATTCTTCAACCCTCCTAAAACTTGAGCTATCAATTTACAAAAATAGAAAAGCGCATTTAAAAGCCCAAACATCATTTTCTTCGGGATAAAAGATCCAAAAGGCGTCACAAATGCGGCATACTTCTGTGCACGTTCTATGAGTGGTATCTGGAAGTATCCTTTGTTTAGATCCATGATGGTGATAAATGGAGCTGCGCTGACCTTTTCTATAACTTCTTCAATATTGGAAAGAGGGGAAAATTCTGTCATAGGTTTTGAATTTAATTTTTTGTAGTCTATACCTAGACGAGGATCTTTTCCTGGGACTTCTACTAAGATCATAAAAGATGCATAATCAGACTGCCCAACTCCTATGACTCCTAACTCAAGCAACCGCCTAATTTCTTCCTTTAAGATGTCGGTTTCTCTCCCCGACATTCGGTAAGACATAATGACTCTAACCGGAGTCTCACTCAGTAGTCTCACCCCGGAGTCTCACCAGACATAATGACTCTAACCGGAGTCTTCTACCTGAGTTGGATCAGCCAAGGACTAAGAAATTATGCACTTCTCCTTCGATATCTTCCATGACCTCTTCCATCACCAGATTCACAAACTCGGGACGCTGATGATAAGGTTTCATCAAATTGATATGACAAATGGTGTCACTGTTACGCTTACCTGGAATCTCTACCCGGAATAATTAGTTTCGGAAATCACCCTAGTTACTTTACCTGGCCCTATCCAGTTTATAGCCATTTTGTGTGGTTTAGACGTGGCTAAAAACAAGCACGAGATCTCCGACCTTATACCTTCTCGTACCAGTGTTGCGATCATATCAGAGTTTCCTTTTACTCTGGCACTCTTTCATTTTTCTTTATGCCACCTTATCACAGTATAAAAAATTTAAGTTAGAAATAGTTTTCATTTTTACTTAATGCAGGTAATATTACAAACTTACTGCGCACAAATACTGAAGCCTAACAGTCTTCAGGTATAAATATAAATATAAAGTTTTTCAAGTATAAATATAGAGGCTGGAGGAAGGTATAAAAAATTACTGTTACGTAATTATTACAAACCTGTTTTCTTTAAATTTCGAAATGATAAAACATGAATGTTTGAGTCATTTAAAACGTTTTCGTGTAATTTGAAGTCAATTAGAAAAAGTGTGTGTGTGGAGGGAGTCTTTTACATCCCCCCGTTCCAATCAGCCGACTGAAGAAATCCAATTTGCGTTTTTCATGATTCGAAAAAACAACTTAGGATTTATATTAGATTTATGTATAGTGTTTTGCTAACGTATGTGTTTTAATATAAAATTGAAGTTTTCCTGAAATGGCACACTGATTTTTTTTCAATGCTTCGATTCTACTTTTGAAATTATCCCAAAGCACCAAGTTTTGTAAAAATTACAACAGCAATTTTTAACAGACTTTTATTGAGGTTTATCGATATGGAATTTTTGTATTGTCTTTTTTATTAACAATGCACAATAAATATGTATTAATAATACACGAAAAACTATTTTTAAATCTGTAAAGAATATTAGTAAAAAATTTAGATTTTTTAGCATATATAAATTTTTTTTTACTAAAAATTCAAAGATTATTAATCTGGAAACTTACATTTTGTACGTATCCCTTTTCTGTCAAAATCGCTTTTTAAATTGGTGCCACAAAATTTTATCACCATGTATTATTTTTAACAAAAATTAAACCGTAAACAATCTGTATGTAAATACGAATGTCTCGAGCATTACATGAAAAACACGTGTGTATCGGAAATTCTAAAGATATGCTGTTTTTAAATTATTTTGCGATATTGCTGTTGAGTTGAAATTTATGGTTTAAGTGCGAAGACCATCATATTTAATAAATGTGAGGGTGACGTCTTATTATCAAACAGAGATCACACTCACGATACAAAGCATCAGGTTTTATTCCTTTTTTATAGAAGAAAAGATAAACGGAATGAGTATGTACAAATGGATTAAATATGTTTAGGAGAGTAATCACACTGGTTCCACTACGGAGATGTTAAAGTCTTAGCTGACCACCTACGTGCGGTCACTTTAGATAAGTTCCAAGTCCGATCGCCTACGCGCGACCAGT